TATCTATCTATCTATCTATCTATCTATCTATCTATATATATATATATATATATATATATATATATATATATATATATATATATATATATATATTTATGACTCTTTAATTCCTTTATTTAGTATGTCATCAGAGCGATTGAATGGAGCTGAGCATTTGCTGTCCAAATGCCTTCCTGACACCTATGCAGAGTTTGCAGCAGATATTTTCTCTTTGCGCCCTGACAGAGAAACAACTGCAACTGCCTAGGATTGAACTCTCAACCTCACTGAATGGTGAGCATCTTCATCATTAGGCCACCGCTCTGTGTACCTCACTATTTAACAGCGGTGGCAAACCATTTTTGGCTCATGTGCCATAAGGGGGGAGCACAGGGGGGGTCATACGCAGGTGTGCTGCACCCATAATGCAACGTGCAACACCCCCCAGTGTGCATGCACGCATGAGAGGCACTGCCCCCCCCATTTTTTGCATGCTTTTTTCACTCTCCCCAGGCTCCAGAGACTTTAGTCACTTCCAGTTTGCTCATAGAGTCGGGTTTAAGCCCTCCGGAGGCTTCAGGAACCTTCAGGAGGCTTCCCTGAAGCCTCCAGAGGGCTTAAACTGATCCTACGAGCAAACCGAAAGTCCGTTCCCGAACTTCTGGTTTGCACATAGGGCCATTTTTTTGCGCTCCAGAGGCTTCAGGGAAGCTCCTGAAGCCTCCAGAGGGCCTCCGGGGGAGGCTTTTTTTGCCCTCCCCGGGCTCCTATAAAGCCTCTGGAGCCTGGGGAGGGCAAAAAATGGCTTTAAAAAAGGCTGAACTCAGCTGGCCAGCAGGGCAACTGCTCACGTGCCCTGACAAATGGCTCCACATGCCACTTGTGGCACCCGTGCCATAGGGTCGCCATCACGGCTAAATAACAATTAAAAAATACTTGAAATATTGATCAGATATAGAGCATGATATGAGCAGTTGGGACTAGTGACCACAATGCTCCCAAGTTTAATATATATGTAAACGCAACATTGAACAATGAAAATGCCAATTCACTTAAATGGTATTGGATTTGAAAAGAGAAAACTTACAAAAACCAAATGAGTATGAAATTTAAATTGAATATGCACCAAGAGCCAATATTTCATTCAGTTTACTTTATAATGTACTGTATATAATTGATAAAAGTATAAATGGATACATGTCAAGGAGGAAAGCACAAAAGTGAAAAGTGAAAGTCTTGTCCAAGTGAGGAAATTTCAAAAAAACATTCATTCTAAGAAAACTAATGCAAATTGACAACAGGCCAAGCAACAACACAACGCACGGAGTTCAAAATTGCACTGCTATAAATGTTACAATGAACAATTCTGCTTCAATATAGTTAAAGCAGGAAATCAGCTAAGTATGCATTATCTGTGTACTGGAATCCAGTTTAGGTTGTCCAAGTACTAGCTATAATCAGGGGAATGAAGGGAGAATAAAAATTAGTTAAAACATTTCTTGGACATATAGTTGCCTGAACTGCTTCCCAGAAAGAAACTAAAATAGCAAGTTACATTACAAGTGACATAAGAATACAGTAGACGTATACTTAGGACCACAATTCTTATCTATTTTTCTAACAGCAGGGACTGTATATATAAGATTCTGTATGTCAAGACTCAGGATCTTCCTACAAAGGTATGTAAGGCAGTTCTCTGCTCCAGAGGCTTATACCATGGTAGCAACAGGACAGAATAGGGGATAAGAGAACTAAAAAGCTACTGGCATATTAGCCCAACTTTTATTGTTGTACTTTATTAGCCATTATTAATACATCAACAGCTATTACTTTTATAAAACAATATTGTTGAGTGAGAATATCTTAAAGTGTAACTTTTGTTCATTAATTTCCTACATATTAATGAAAAGCTGAAGTAGGGCTTACTTCCTATATGTGTAATTCAGGCTTACTATTTTGTATAACCCCCATTATACTCTAAACCAGTTTCAGAAGGCTGGCTATGTTACTCTTAAAAGCAAAAAGTTACTCCTTAAACACTAACATTGTAAGTTGTGCAACACGGTCAACTACATCAGATGTCATTTTTATAAAATACCAGTTATTTCTATTCCTTTTTGATATAAGAATGTAGAACTAATGGATAAGTCCATTACTAATCTTTAAAAGCTAACTGATGAAATTCAGTCTTTGAAAATTTCAGTGCAATATTTTCACACTGTAATGTTCCATCCAATATGCAGCTTGGAGCCTCCTCATCTTACTTGTTACTTCACTTTCTACATGATCCAATATAATTATACATTTGTTTAAACTGCATCAGAATATGCAAACAGGATGGAACAGAAGTTGCCCAGTTCTAACTTAAGATCTAATAATTAAGTGCATATGTATGTATGTATGTATGTATGTATGTATGTATGTATGTATGTATAATTTCTACTGAGTGCCATAATAAAATAGAAAGGGAGAAATAGTCTGAATACTTAACAAATTTCATGCGGCAGGTCTAAATCAATTTAATTGAAAGATTACCTAACACGTAAGGCTTTTCCCTCTGTAATAAATTTTCACTCCAAATACTCAACCAAAGAAGTTAAGCAGTTGAAGCATTTCTCCTATGTTCAACCTGAATGGTGACTGCAATGAAAGCAATTCACAGCCTTTTTTTAATCTTTTTCCCAACAATCTCACAACCTTGTCTATACATGTCAGTAACCCTACCGATGTTATTTCAAAATCACCATACCTTTTTAGAACTGCTGGAGCCCAATTTCACTTCATTTGTGGAAAACTCTAGTATGAATTAGCCTCGTTTCACTCTATTTCATTATTTTAGTCTAAAAAGATTTAAAGGTATTAAACAGTATTTAAGAATTGTTAGGCACTTCTTATATTTATTTCTCAGAACAATTATATAACTACATAATTACTATATTCTTGTGTACTTTAAAATTGTCTCTGCTACATTAGTAAGAGTAGTGCAGCCAGCAAAGCTGTGCAAGATAAACAATATTTTATTTAACCAGAAACAGCAATTGGCAGGCAAGTATATTTATTAGTCCAGAGGTTTATACTGCTGGATTCTTTTAAAACCCAAGTACCATAGACTACCTTCAAGAGCAAAACAACATCCTATCTTTAAAATACACCTTTCATATTGTTGTTTTCTTTGATGACACTATCTATTCTAGACATTTTGGACTGTGGTTGCAAATTTTAGATGTTGTAGATCAACATATGTGGAAGCCAGTGGATAAAATTATTCTATTTGAAGGTTCTGAATAACCGCATCAATAAATTAGTTGATAGAATTTGATTTGCTGAGTTGAGTGTGTTCAGGGTCTTGAAGTAATTTATGTTCCTAATGTTAGGAGTATCTATAGTATATTATGAAATATTTTGCCTAGTAGTCTGTGAAAAGACACAGAATAGGTCCCTATTTCTGAAATAAAAATTATATTAAATGGGGAGCAAACATTCTCTTTGTCTTTGTATAATAATCAAATTTTCCAGAAATGCTATTTTCCTATCTGAATGACACTTAAATGCAATGTCATAAATTGGTTAGAGGCCCTAATGCAAATTTCTGTGGAAATAGTATTACAGATAAAAGCAAAGTCAATGTAGACATACTTTTCTTTATTTACTATTACCACATAGTTCAAAGATGTCAGTTTTGGTAAACAGACACTGTAAGATTGTTTTAAAAGTCACACAAGATCTGCCTTCCAAAAGATCAATGCATTTCTCAAACACACTTCCCAAGTCTGCTAACCAGTTCATTCAGAGAAAGAAATTACACCCAATGTTGAATACAGTGTAAATAGTAACTGCTTCAGGTAACGCAATGAAACTACGTTATACATGCAGCTTCAACAAGCAATTTCAGTCAATGCTATCAATACACAGATTGCCTTCCTCCTTTCCTACATGTTTGTTTCCCATGGTAGAAGGCAGCTAAATGCACGTCTTCCAAAACCGAACGAAAACCATATTAGACAGATATCACGGGCGGAATAACTTTTTGAAATTTCCAAGAGCAAAACATATTTGCAGATTTCCATGGGATCTCGCCCTCCTACAACCCCCCCCCCTTTTTTTTTAAAGCGCCCAAAACAGCCGAGTTTCGTCTTGAGTCCTTCGGAGACTCCCCCCCCCCCTTAAGACATATGTGTTCCGGAAAACTTCGTCCGCTCTTCCCCAATCCTCCGTCGCAAAGGGCGATAAATCAGAAGAGAAAAGTTGGGTCCGTTCAGGGCCTTGCAAAAAGCCCCAGTAGGAACAAAACTACGCACTGTCAGATTCGCCAACATACATTATCAGATTGTTTGAAAAAGTCACGCAAGAACCACCAAGTATTCGTGTATACATAATTTTACAGCCAGAGGTAGCCGACGGTTGAGAGCCTGGGCAGCGGACAACTACCGTAGGGACTAAGGGCGAGAAAAGAAGGGGAGAGGCGCGGAAACGAAGACAGCAACGAGACAGAAAACACCGCCGAGAGTGGCCAGAAGCGGAGAAGGGCGCTTCCTGCAAGCAGGAGAACCCGCCAAGCCACCGGAGACACTTACATAGCGCTTTAACTTCTTCTCCGGGGGAGACTTTCGGAGCCAGCCCTGGCAGACCACCTCCCCGCCGCTCATGATTGCTTCTCGCCTCGAAGAGCGAGGGGGGTCTGTTTTCCTTCCGCAGCTGCGACGGCCGGGCCGGGCCGAACAAACAGCCCAAGAGAACAGAAGAGGAGCGCCGCGCCGCGCCTGTCTGCCGGCCTCCTCCGGCAGCTCCTCTGGGGGAAGGGAAAGAGGAGGGAGAAGCGCAGGAGAGGGAGGAGACGACCGGGAAAGGGAGCGAGAGAGAGAGCGAGAGAGAAAGGCTGGGAGGAGGGAGGGAGGGAGGGCCGAAGGGTGCGTGTGGGGCTCGTCTGTGAATATTAACGCGGGTGCTCCCAGCGGAGACAGACAGCCTAGAGGAGCTGAAGCGACCGCCCCTCTTCTCTCCGGGCAAACGAGGTGTCCGCTCTCCTGTAACTTTCAACTACTGCGACCCAACGGCTGCACGGAAGCCCGGCGTCGGGAAAGCCCTCCCTGCTCGGTCCTCTACAGAGCAGGAACCTCCCTCCCGGTCTACTGAAGCGTGAGGCGGAGGGCTTCCCTCGCCTCGGTTGGGCAAGGCTGGAGTCCGCCCACAGCGACTCCCTCACGCCCGCGGCCAGCGCAGCGGAGAAAGGGAGGAGGAGGAGTCCCGGTCCTTCGCGCTTAATTTCTTTGGCTCCTCCGCCGCCCCTCCGGTGCCGTCTTGAGTTGAGGCGCGAGTCTTCTGGACTGGGAGGCTGAGCTGGTGGTTTGGCGGCGTCTCCGCCCGACGAGAGCTCTGGGCCGGAATGTATTTTTTTGGGGGGGGGAGGGGGTGGACTGGGAGACGGAGCTGTGGTCCCGGGCGAAACGCGTTCGAGGGAGCCCCGAACCACAAACCAGCCAACCGCAGTGGAGCGCAGCATTTTCTAGGAACGGAGCTACCGCGGTTCGTCTGTGGTACAGCGCGTCCTGCAAACTCAGACGACTTGAGTTTGCTTAACAGTGAATAAGCATATCTTGTGAAAGCCAGCCTGGATTAATCATCGCAAGTAGTCCTCGATTTACGGCCATAATGGAGCAGAAAATTTCTGTTGTTAGGTGAGACATTTGTTAAGTGAGTTTTGTCCCCATTTTATGACCTTTCTTGCCACAGTTGTTCAGTGAATCACTGCAGTTGCTGAGTTAGTAACCCAGTTGTTAAGAGAATCTGGCTTCCCCAATGACTTTCCTTGTCCTCGCAAAAAGTGATCACATGACCTTGGGACAACGCAACAGTCATAAATATGAACAGGTTGCCAAGCATCTAAATTTTGATCACATGATCATGGGGATGCAGCAAAGGTCGTAAGAGTGAAAAATGGTCACAAGTCACATTTTTCAGTGCCGTTGCAACTTTGAATGGTCACTAAATGAACTGTTGTAAGTCTAGGACTCCCCGTATTTGTTGAATGCAGTATTCATTTGTCTGCATTCACATATTATGCTACTCCATTACCATATTTTTCAGAATATAAGATCCACTTTTTACCCCCTAAAAGAGCAGGGAAGTGGTGCGTCTTATACACCCAATACAGCCATTTTTGGCCTCCTTAAGCCTCATTCCCACATCCCATTTTTGTGAAAAACGGGCTGTTTTTTGCAAAAACGAAGGTGTTTTTGCCTTCCTCCAGCAACACTCTGCAGACTTCAGCAGGGCTGGGGGGAAGGCAAAAATGCCTTCGTTTTTGCAAAAAACGGCCCATTTTTGGGCCGTTTTCACCTTTCCCCAGCCCTGCTGAAGCCTGCAAAATACTCCTGGGGGCCGGGGACGACAAAAACTTTTTTTTCTTATTTACCTCTTCGAAATATTGGTGCATCTTATACACCGGTACATCTTATAGTCCGAAAAATATGGTAAATTGTCCACAGAAGGAGACTCTACAGCAGTGGTTCCCAAACTTTTAAAGTCCACTGCCCGCTTGGTGCTACAAACTGATCCTCAGTGCCCCACACCCGGTGATGGAATTCATTTTTTTTTACTATCAATTCTGTGGGTGTGGCTTGGTGGGCGTGGCTGGGGGGTCATGTGACTGGGTGGTTTGCACGACGGAAGGAAGATAGTAACAGTAAAATTCAAAACTAACAATTGTATATTTATTCAAAATCCAATTTAAAAACCTTTCTAGTTAATATTAATTCAATAAAATTATTGAACATGATCCAGTGATACCAGGTTTTCAAAGACTGATAGTCATTTATCAAGAACCTTAGTAACTAGTAGCTTAGTACACTCAGTAAAATTTAGTAACTACTTCACTGTTCTTTGATTTTTCTGCTTCTGCCATTTCTGCTCTGAAAATCAGAATACTTAAAATATGTGTGTGTTCACATTTGGCTTA